ACTGGACTTAACATAGGATTGGAATTCGAGAGCTCTGGCCATTGCATCCTACATAGTAGAGGGGTGTACTTGCTTTATTTGTATCTTCAGTTGTGGACTGTCTAAGGCATCCACAAACTGATCCCACAGTAACAACTTGAGGACATCAGGTGGCGCAGTTGGGTAGGGCTTGTGTGCCATACTCTCCAAATCCTGTGCCACCTCTTGCAGGCTCTCCCCTTTAGCACGGACTCTCGTCCTAAACCTAGCCCTGTAAACTTTTGACTGATTTTGAGTTCCATACCTGAGTTGTAGAGCAGCTACTAGTGCTCTATAGTTGTGCCTGTTGTCTACTGACAACTGTTTAAGTATTTCCAGTGGTTTTCTCTTCAGACTCGTTGTAAGTTATACTGCTTTCTGCTCCTCTGTCCATCCATTCATTTCTGCCAGTAGCTCAAATTGTGCTTTATATGCTTCCTATCGAATTCCTGTGGCTTCCTTCATACTAGATCACCCCAATTGCTGACACTCATGTCTGGAATGTGACTACTGACAGAACTGAAGATGTCTGCATTAGGGTTTAGCTGCAGGGTCTGGAATGGGCTTCACATTGTCTTAGGCTGATTAGGTCGATGGCTAATATATCCTCCTTGTGTAAAAAACAATAAACCATCCTTTAATGTATTTAATTTACTTTGAAATTTACTAATGTTTTCCATGTGGACTTCTTGCCACTGCTGTAGTCTCTCTTTTTGTTTATTTTCTTTCTCTTCCAACCACTGCTGTAGTCTCTCTACTTGTTTATTTTCTCGTTCTTCTTGTTTCTTTTCTTTTTCCTCCAACAGCTGTTGTAATCTCTTTTCTTCTTACTTTTCTCGTTCTTGTTGTTTATTTTCTTTTTCCTCCAACAACTGCTGTAATCTCTCGTATTTATTATGCTGTTCGAGCTGCCACTGTTACAGGTTTTCTTGCCACTGCTGTAATCTCTCTTCTTGTTTCTTTTCTCATTCTTCTTGTTTCTTTTCTTTCTCCTCCAACCACTGCTGTAATCTCTCTTCTTGTTTATTTTCTCGTTCTTCTTGTTTCTTTTGCTGTTCTTGTATTGCTGCCATCAAATCTGCTAAGCTGTAGTTTGATTTGCCACTTCTCATTTCCATTTTTTTCTTTTCCGTCCCACTCTCTGACACCAATTTTTTACGTCTCTGTTCGTTTGATAATTTCCCATAAAGATTATTCCCGAGGAACTTCAGTGATACAAGTCCTTTTTTAAATAAAACTAGTTTATTCTTTCTCAATACAACTTTGCAATACACAGAATTTCCACAGTCACTTTAATTTAAACACATCCTAT